TAGAAAGTTGTCATTTTCTTTGTCACCTCCTGTTCTTTCGGGGCTGATACAAGTGACAGTTCCGACGTAACTTTTACATAAAGCTATATTTAGATTTTTTTCCCCCAGACATTCTTGATTTCTGTGACACAGGACATACATTCCAGAAATCATTTTAGTCTTTGATGGGGTTTTTAAAGCAATCACTGCTGTCCTGGGTCATTATTAGAAGTCACACTGCAGACCCAGAAACACGGGAAGAGTGGCAGACAATTCGTCTTTCAGCCAGAGATTGACACTGGAAAGGAGAAGTCAGGGTGTTGATTATTGAAATCACAGTGACCGTCGTGTGAGTTGCTTCCTTTAGCCGGGGTTCCTCTGCCCACCAGGCACTTCTTTTCCTTTGCTTCCAGCAAGCTCTCCTGTCCCCGGCGAAGCCAGCCTAATACATGTGTGCAGGTTTAATGCTGGGAAGGAGGGTCAGCTTTACCCATACATAATCACTCTTTTATGGCTTTCACTCATTCCTGAGGTGTTAATGCAGATCAAATGGGAAACACTCCAGAAAGAACCCTTCGCAGCTACTGCACTGCCCAGCTCTCCCGGCTCAATCGTTAATTCTTATTGTAAGATCTAAAGGTAATTTTGTTTGCTCTCTTAATGCGTTGCAGTTCTCCCAGTGGCCCTTGCATATCCTTTCTCAAATTCCCATCTTGATCAATTGTTTGCAAATAATTAAGCTTTTAAGAGATAATGGCATGAGGCTAATGTACACAACAAAGGCGGGGTCTCCGTCGCTGTCTCGTGGAGTGGTCAGATTTGCTTTGATAGCCCTAAGTGATTGGGTTGATTGCTATATCTGGCAAGTACCATTCCTATTTTCTTCGCAAGAACCTACGAATCTCTCTTAAATCAGTGTCCTTCCCATTTAGGTGCAGCGGTGGCAAAGGTGTTCGGGAGAATGGCAAGGGCTGACCTAACCCTTTAGTCGCAATGGTTTGGAATAAAATTCCCATTTTCTTCCTAAAACGGCCTTGTCTTTATCTCTTTTGTAAAAAAACAATGCCTACCTTTGCCCATCGTAAGGCCTCACCAGCCGGGTGGAATGCAACAGGGCTTTGAATGTTTTTACAGCAGCTTTGTCTTGGTGGGTTTTTGTTGTCATTTTTTTTTTAAGTCAGCAAAAGACTAGCTCACACTGTCCACAAGAAGCTTATCTAGTCAAGATGCATAAGATTTAAGATATTTAAACATACTGGATTTCAGTTAAAAAGCCGACTTCTTTGTGAATTTTTGTCTGACTGTGGATTAGGTACCTGAAGTCAGGGCTTTCATTTAACACTAGTAATTATAGATTTTTTTCAGGGAATTGAAAGTTTGTGGGACCCCAAGGCCAAGAACTGTGAGAAAGAAAAAAGCTATGCAAGTTGACCCGCCGTAGACAAGGGTATAGGAATTTTGTCAATATCCTTTCCCTGCTCTTAACAGTGACCAGATTATTGTGACATTTAATTTCGCCCAGGCTCATTCACTTTTATCAAAAAATATATATCCTGAACAACTGAACAGTGTTTAATGGAGACAAAGTGCTGGGTCTCTATAGCTTGAGGCTGCCTAACAATTACGCTGCATGAAATTAGACACAGTTTGTTCCAATTACTTAAAATCAGATCACATGAAAAGTGACAGAGGGGAAAAAAGGGTAGAACTTTCCCAGTTTATGATATTTAAATGATGAAATCGGAAACTGCATGACATGAAAAACAACCTAAATTTGCACTGAAACTTCGAGGGCCGTGTGATTGCTCTTTGAGGCTGTAATGATTCAGGTAATTTTAATGATCCAAAGAGAATTTTTCTGACACCACTTGCATAAATAAAATGTGAATTCCATTTGCTTTGTAAGACTGGAGCTAAAACTTGCTCACAAACAGGCGTGCAGAAATACTCTCGAAGACACAGCACAAATAAATGACTGTGACAATTCTCAATTTTCAAAGTAACTAAAGGTAAATGGCATAAATATTAATTTTTATCCAGTTCTGGTCATACTATTAAGACACAGCTAACAAGACAGCAAAGATGCTGCCATCCAGCTATAGTGAGGAGAGACTGTTGACATGTTTATTAATTCTATTGACAATCACTGAGATTTCCATAGGGCCTGCAAAACTACATGAAAATTACAGAAAATGTTACAGACTGGAAACCACTTGTGTACATGTCTACAGCTTTATATGACAAATATAGTAAGTCCTCACTTAATGTCATCAGTAGGTTCTTAGCCTTTAATCAAAAGAAGGTGTACCGAAATCAATTTTACCATAGGCTAATGCCGTAAAAAAGAGTCAGGTTCCTGGAGCATTTCATCAATGTTGTAACAAAATGACATTGAAAGAAACGACTTTATCCAGGGTCCTGCTGTTGTGCCAACAGCTAGATGCTCAAATTCCCATATTTCAAAATCAGGCTCATATTCTGTAAGAATTACTAGCCTGGGTAACCTGTAACTTTGATGGCTCTTAGAACTCCAGAGGACAACCTTGAGGATTAGAAAAGTTCTTTGTTCGAAATCTCATAGTGAGCAGCATAACATACAATCTAACAGCGTCATGTATGCCTGAGGACAGTTCTTCTACTAGTAGAACTACTCTATAGCCTCCTTAAGTCTGGTCAGAGGCTAAGAGATTCATTGGCTTGCTTTGTGTGGCGAGCCTTATGCAGTGGGAGTCATGTTTTAAACCTCAGGGCAGGGGCTTGTTCGTAGCTCAGTATCCAGTCGTGAGATTTGTACCTGTGATGACTGGCGTTATGTTGAGCAGGGAGGTTGTCACATCTTGGCCTAGTATGAGGCTTACGTACTTTTATTTGAAAACAGTGAGTTGACATCACTCTTAGGAACGAAGTACGGAAAGCAGTGTTGTGGATCTCAGATTGGATTGTTTATGCCTCTTGGGGGCTCTGAAAACTTTTTATTGTACATTTTGATGTTGCATCTGAGTGGCTGTTCCTTTATCCCACAAATATTTACTTATTTTCTGTTATGCTAGTCTGGGATGAAAGCATGGTGACCGAAAACGGCCCGGCTTTGGAGTTGCTAAATGGGTGGAAGAGACACCCCAAGGAAGCAGGTAGTCAGAACAGGCGTTGCCGAGAGCGAGGCCTGCTGTTCGGGGAAACGGGAAGAGACCAATGTGAGGATGATGAAGTGGGTGGGGAAGGCCTGGCATTTGAGCTGAGACGTGAACGTGACATTGGAGCAGGAGCCTGAGTGGTGGGGACAAGCTTGGCGTGTTGGAAGGCCAAGAAGGAGCACTGTGTGGCTGGGTAGAAGCGGGGGTCTGAGGAGAAGGCCACACAGGCCGGGAGGTGGGCAGGGCTGGGTACTGAAGGCCTTGCAAGCCCTGGTAAGCAGTCTGAAGGTTTTTGGGCAGGGACCACAAGTAGAGATCATGAAAGGTGTTTACCACATCCCTCCTCCACGGTGAGGCTTAGCCCCTGGGAGGGAGACGGGAAATGCCACTGACTCGTGTGGCTGCTGACCAGTCCTTCCCCTGGTCAGCTTCCCCACCTGTAAAGCAGGAGGGACAATCGATTCCATTTATGTTCCTCAAAGGGATGTAATGGGGATTAATTACCATCTTGTCTGTAATATACTTGGAGCTCTTTAGAGAAAGGAACTATATTCCATGAAAGCACAGCCTTATTCTAATTGTATATTTATTGATTAAGTGTCAATCAAAGACAATGCTTCTGGGAAAAATTGCTACTTCTCTGCTTTCCACAAACGAATCCCATGTGTCTAGGTAGAGAACATATTTAAACTTACATAGAAGAGCATTAAAGTGGTCATTAACGACCCTTCTTAGCATCTCATCAGACATTATTAATGAGATTAAAAGCTATGTTAATTAGCATTCAATAGACCAGAATTCAGTTTCCAGTGGCACAGACAGTTAAACTGAGAGTTAGGGGTGCCCTTTCCCACCTGTGAGAGAACAGACCATTGACTATCAGAACAATTTTTATCTTGAGAGAGTTTATTGGGATGCAGTGTCTCGGTAGATGCACACCGTGTCCTCAGCTCTTCTCCCAAGCTTTAGGAATGTATATTTCCTATTTAGATATAGTTGATTATTGAGCAAAAAGTATTTGTGCCAAAACTAATTTCAGTAGAATTCCAAATATTCTTACAAGAAGGTATGGATTTCGTTTTATTATCTAATCCTGTAATACTTTTTTATCCTGTTTTATGAGGAACATAGCTGGGCTTGTTCATAGCATGCAAAGTATGCTGGTCTTTGACCTTATATTGGCCTATGTTCAGAATCCCAGCATGTGTTGACATTCAGACATGGAAACAAACTTTGGTTGAATTTCGTTTGTTTGTGCTTCTCGGAAGAGCTCAGATGAACAGTGGTTAAAAAAATGTACCCACTTTAATTCTGATATTTGCATCCAGCAATATGGTGTTTGGAGGGACAGTCATGCTAACAAAGTCTTAGCTGCTGGGGACCTCAGCTGAGATTGCTGGTTCGAATGGTTCAGCTTTGGAAGTCCGTGGTCCTAATTAAAATATTACGTCAAGGCGGTACGCTTTTCTGTGGTCAAAAGGGCTTGTCCTGGTTTTAATCCTATGAAATACAGTGAAGACCATTCTTTGCAACAAATAAACCTGTTCAAGAATAAACTCAGTATCAAGGTTCTGCAGGTATCCTAAGGAGCTCTTTATACACTTCACTAACCTTTGTAATTGGCTGTCTCTTACTGCCATTAATTAGGTGATGTAGTATTCCATTAATAAGGGCGACACACCTCAGCATTTTTACCTTTAGTTACAGACTTCACCAGACACTTAGGTTATTGACAAATAGCCTGAATCTTGCCTGAGGTCCACGTCTCTCTTTCGTGAAGAGCGTGTCTGTTTATCAGTGAGGCCTCGCCGCCCGCCCGTGTGACAGGCACCGCCTCCTCCGCCCAGCGCGTATGTGCACACACCTCTCTTTTTTGTTGTCTTTCAGCACCCTTACCCTTCCGAAGAACAGAAAAAGCAGTTGGCACAAGACACGGGACTCACCATCCTTCAAGTGAACAACTGGTACGTAACTTGGCCTTGTGTCCGCACGGGGCCCGCTCCCCTCTGGCAGCCAGCAGCCCAGGCTTTGCCTTAAGGAGACGCACCCAGGCCGCCGTTTTCCCGGGTGGCCTGTCTGATCCAGAAGCGAAAACAAACTGCAAGTGATAGGTGAGAGTCTGCGGGTGTGGAAGAGAAAACTGTGTGGCTTCCTTCCCGTCCTTTACGAATTGACGAATGCAGGGTGGCCTGAGTCAGTGTTGAGGTCGCCTTCACCCCGGCTCTCTAAGTGTACCCCTCCCCATGGCTTCCCCCCCTTCGGGATAATAGATAGAAAGAGTGGAATCATCCTATGTTCTATGAAACAAGAAAATCCACCGTCACGTAGCAGTCAGGTTTTCAATTCATTGAATAACTAAATTTAGATTTTGTTAGGGCTACGCATTCAAGGAGAGTCCCCCCCTTTCTTTCCTCTTTACCTCCTGTTTCTGTAAAAGGAGAAATTACTTGTTTGGACTTTGAAGCCGTTTGAAACCGGATGTGTCTCCGAACTGTGCAGCGCTGTTTCTAAATAAATGTGTAAATTCCTGACCCGGGGAGAAGCTGAGGTGATGTACCAAGAATCAGCCAACACCATTCCGACTTACCGTGTGGCGGTGCGCAGCGGGGCTGCGGGGAAGCGTGATTTATTACCCTTTGTGAGTGCGCTGAAAGCCAGGTCCGTCTAATCACCCAGAGCTACTGTCATATTTGAAGGGTATTGAAACCCAATATCCTCTAAAACTGAGTGTATCTAATTAATTGTCCTAATATTTTTAGATTAGTGTTTATGATGGGGAAACCTTATCCTCTTTGAAGTAAAATCCAGAAGAGGCCCAGAGCCTGGTTGGGGAAAGTGGAGAACTGGGAATGCTAGTTTGCAGACAGAAGTATTTCTTTCTGTTCAATAAGTGTCAAAGATTAATATTACAGAATCTCTGATTACATGGCCTAATCCATTTTGGTGAATAAATTTGTTCTTGATGTCCATTGCACCTCTATTAACAGACCCTTCTCTCTGTTAGAGAGCCTGGGAGCCTTTGGGAGAGATTTCAGATATATTAAACTCCATTACAGAAAATGTAATTTCTGTCAATATAATTCCATGTATTCTTCAATTTAGTATTTTAGAGATAACAAGCTCCTTACAATAGATTTGCCTTTGGAGGATTAATTTACAAAGTGCACTATCTTCGAGACACAGACAGACTCACATAAGCATTGCTTGTAAGGGTTATCAATTTCTCTGACCTCACTGCAGTCTTGGGAGATCAATTTTTGCAGCCCTCTTAGTGAAGTGGATGGGGAACCAACCGAAGACACGCTGTACCCTAATGTGTTACTAGGAGTTGGGTTGCTGCTGAGGTTTTTTGTTGGCTTATTTTCACCTGCTCTTGGGCATGAATTTTCAAGACTAGCTGATACTGTATATCTGAACATAGTCTTTCAAATTGTTTTGGACGTTGTTATAAGGGTAGACCATCAGTTTTGCATGCACACTTAAATTTACATACAGTTTCTGAGTTACACTGATGGTGAGGCAATTTGAATACAATGGAGGCTGTGTAACTGTCCTGTTTCCCTGGAAAGTGTTCCCACTCGAGCGCCAAGGAGTGGCAGGGCGCACTCTAATTAGAGAACGCAAAGCTGTTCGGTTCGGGCCTTCTATCACATAAGCCATCTCCCTTCCTTCTCGGTGTTGCTAGCAAACTTCATCCGTAAACACACATCGTTACCAGAGAAAAAATTCCAATACAAGTTGCTTTCTACAGGTGGACGGCCTTAGAGGATATTGGGTAGATGCAGGGATGGGCAGGCATTCGCCTGACACCAAGCAGGGTGCGGTTGTCACTCTCTTAGATTCTATGCACAGTCGGCGATCACAATCTAACCGCCTCAGATTCCCAATGAGAAGGGGGGGAGGACCTTAAAAACGTTATGATACATACTGTATGATCATTTTTCCAAGTATCTGCAGACTTGGCCCTAAACTCCACACTGATGCTTAATTCTGCACAGGTACGTGACTTAAAAGCCACTTTGACTTAGTCACCTGGGGCATATCAGCACAGCATTTCTCTGCTTCTACCTGGAGTTAGCAGTGACTTTCGCTTGCACTTCCTTGCTTTGAACTTGGCAACTCTTTCCACTCTAACAACCTGGGTTGTGGTAGAGAATTTCCCTGAAGTAACTCAGAGTTGTAAGAGATACTGCATCTCTTCTGTCGGATGAATAATGACATTCCCGTGTTTGATTTGAGTTTTTAACGGTTTATTAATTTCCACCCACACTTCCTGTTAAGGAGCTGATAATAGATTTCTTCTTCTTTAGGCTCTGAGTAGGAAATCTGATGCAAACACGGGGAAACCCAGATGTTACTTACACGGTGGCATACTTGAAGACGAAAACGGAGCATAACCACTGAAGTAAAATGGTTTCCATTTTACTTTATTGTAATAAACATTACACAAAGCTTTTTCGAGAGCTCGTAAACATTTTTTCCTGTATTGAGCATCAAGCTCAAGTTATTTCCTTTGGGAAATAACAATTTTTAAAAGAAAATCTTCATTCACTTCATTTAGCCACAACATTTAAAAATATGTCTTCCTTCCTGGATTTCTCAAAACTTGTTAACACACATGTACATTTTGTACAAACTATGAGTCACCCTTGAAGAGATTTAATAAAACGCTGAAGGGCAGGTTGGGTGCAGATCAGTCATAATTATTGGCAGCAACATGATGTATGAAAACACAAAATCTGAAAAATATAAACGCACGTCTAGTTGTTAGTTTGTCATAGAAACCCTGGCCAACACAGCCCTAAGTTAGGTTTTAATTGAAAAATGAGATGAGAAAAGTTTGGTGCGTTGTAATGGTTCTTTCATCCCATTGCTGAACTGGCTTTACATTTACTTAATTGACAGAGGTGACATCTACTATCTGCCTTGGCTAACTGAGGTCAAAGCATATGGGATTTGGGGCAAAAAGAGACAACAGGGAAAATTTAGACAACAATCTAAATTTAAAACAAGACAGATTTGATTAATTAAGACAAAGTTTGGATGAAAAGGAGTAACTTAAAATTTTTATATTTGGTTTACCTGCCAGAATGAAAACAGAGAGGAGGCATCTGAAAATGACTGGTATTAGTACTAATAGGAATTGGGACCCAGGATGGAATGTGAAATTTATTAGATGAGACATCATGGGGCAAGTCTATGCCAATGAATTTTCTGAGAATTGAGACAATGCAAATAATTTGGGTAAAAATATTTTTTACCCAAATTATCTAAGTATCTGAGGTAACTGCATCGGTTTTTAAATATCAACTTCCAAACTAATTGCCTAAATATTTCAATTTAGCATGCCGTGGTAGACTTACACTTGAAGCATAATAAATTTCGAAATATAATATGTGCTATAAATTTTTGTATTCTTCTTCCTTTGCTCCCTCACTCCCAATTATGGTTTGATCCAAAAATGATAAATAATAGCATTGGGAGTTTTGTCTCTTTGTTTTTTCATTGTTGTTGTGGTTGTGACAAATCCTTCTGTTGTATCAGCAGTGAAAACATACTACTAATATGTTGAATGTTTTAATCATTTCAACAGAAACTTCATAAAATTTGAGGTTAGATGGCTGTTTGAGCCTTTTGCTATTTAGAACTTGAAAGGAAACACGTACATATCGCTGAAAACGGACCTGGCCCTGAGCGGGTCTGCCTCGGGCCGGCCCTTGGTGTGTGGGTTCTTGACTTCATGCAGGAAAGATTTCACAGCACAAGTCCAGGTGATTCTGAGAGTACATTTATTAAAGGTGGGGGCAGTGAAACAAAGGAAAGACTCAGGATAGAAGAAGCAACAGGAGAGAGCCTAACACACACACACACACACACACACACACACACACACACACACTCTCTCTCTCTCTCTCTCTCTCTCTCTCTCTCTCTCTACTTGGTTCTTTTTTTCTCCAGACCAACTTTATTTTTTTAATATTGAAAATGTTGAGTGTAGAGTGGTCAAATAAAAACTCCCTCATATGTGTTCACAGCAGTGTTGCAGACCTGGGAATTGCATGTGATGAAAACTTGTGCCTCTGATTGTATCTTCCTTGCTGGATGCCTCCTCAAGTCCTGCCTCAGCAGAGTTCTAGCCTAGGGTGCACTGAATACATCTTACTGTTCCTTTGTTTACTGTTTCTCAGCCAAACACTTTCCCACTAAGGCTAAAGTTAGGTGATGGTTCCTTTACACTCTTAAGATGGCAATACGGATTTTGGGTGCAAATTATAGAATGTCTGTGAAATACGTATGCAGAGAGAAAAGTCACTCTCCATCAGTTGGGTGCATAAAAATCCAGGGAGCACCCTAACACCCGAGGTGACCCTGTACGGAAGTGTCTCCGAGCTGTAGTTCTCAGGTTGAGCACACCCCCCCGATTTTCCTACTTACCTCATTTATTGCCTGCAAAACTGCAAAGCGTTCAGGCATCACTTCCCATTTATTCCTA